AGAAATATTAGGGTTATTTACATCTTCTGAAAAAATTCTTAATCCTAACAACCATTATATCATCAAATATGTCTTCTCCAACTCGTTGCTCGTTTTCCTGCTCGCTGCCAAAGAATGGCATCAATGTTGGGAGTTCTTCCTGCTTACCTAAATTCGCCAATGAGATTAGTAACTAAATGCATCTGTTTAATCAATAATGGAAAATATCACATCCATCCTGCTTCCTTATATTTATTTACTAATACGTCAATAAAATAGAAAATAACTATTTATTAATGTATATAATCTGTAAATAAAAACATTATCTCAGTTTGTCATTCTTTTTTTTTTTTTCTTTTTTTTTTTCCCCAGTTTACTTTAATTTCATTTCAAATTCAAACTGTTCAACAAAAGCTGGAGTCAGAGTCGACATGTTTTTTAGCAACTCCAACTCCGAATCCTTTTACCCCAAAATCTACCCGACTTCGTTTCCGACTCCAGGACTCCAACCCCACAGCAGCACTGTTCGGTTGTAGAATATTGCTAAAAATCTAATGTAATCTATCTAATCTAATGTAATCTAATGACTCTTTATATGCATCGAGAAAGCTTAAGTACGGAAAACAGAAACTTTCGGCGTGTATACGAGCCAGTTTCCCTTAGAAGGCATCCCTCTCTTAGGCAGATAGTTCTCGAGGCTTTGCCGTAATTAAATAACCTAACCTAACCAGAAACATTCGGAAATTCTTTCATGTTAGAGTTATCGTGGAGTGAAAAATCTCAACACACAAACATGATTTTAATAATAATGAAAACTTGCTGTGGGGACCCTTATTCACTAATGACTCGATACCGAATTTTCGGACCGAAAGCATTACCTATGTTGGAGGTACTTTCACTCGTTAAATGACTTGAATGTAAATTATTTTTATTGTGTTCTTGCGATTAATGACCATTCTATTACAGTGTCTTGAAATTCATGGAACCCTTTGAACTATAAGGCTTTTTTTCGGGAGGGGGGGACACATATCTTAAAATAATATTTAAGGTAGATTAATGTGTTACAGGTACCTTTTTCGAAGGCAAATCAAGAAAAGTATTATGTTTTTTTGTTAAAATTTTAACATAAAAATAATGTTAATTTACTCATTGACTGACTCGTGTTCCAGATGCCACATACCGTTGCATTATATTTAGTGACAGGCATTTTTTTACACAAACTGTTCGTATCTAGCTCCACTGATGTTATCTGCAATCGCACTTCGTATTGTTGCGTAATTTTTCTCTCCTCTTCACGTTCGTAAGTATGGGTTCGTGTGGATTTGGAGTAAATAATGACAACAGCACTTGATGTAGTATTGAAACACACTTTATTGGCCAATATTAATCAGTACTGCTCCAAAACCACGTTTACAGTCGTCGAAGAACTACAATAAACACGCTGACACGATCAGCGACACAGCCTTCACACTATCAAGTTATAACGGTGGAGACGGTTTCACGATAAAGCACCAGAGTACAGCTCCCGACTCTTCTCCGTCGTTCTCGGAACTCCACGTACTCTCGAGACTCCCCACGCTACAACTCGCTATGCACTCGACGATACACAAGAGTGCAGCTCCCGACTCTTCGATTCAGTCGTTTTCGGAGCTCAACACGCTCTCTCGACAATGCACTAACCGCGTACCAGCACGGTTTATATAGCTTTTGGCTTGTGTTCGAGACATTCTGGGCTAAACCAGTAAGAATTCGCTCCAGAAGGTTCTCCATCCATATGGCATATCGCCAATTTCGCCGTCAAATGTGACAACCCTGCCTTCCCTTGCCGTTTTATGGCAACCCTAAGCTTGCTTTGCGGGGAAGCCATCCCACCGCGCCTGGACATTTCTTAAAAGTAGTATCCATTTAATTTTTTTTCTATATTTTGTTTTGTTGCTAGGTATGGTGAGAAATATTTTTCACTTAAATACGCTGTTGCGAGTGACATAAATGTTTGTAACCGTGTGAGAAACTTCTAAGTATTTTGCATGAATCTACGATCCAACATTTTAGGAGCTGGAGATTTTAACGTCGAATATAGATAATGTTGTCTATAGGTTGTATCCAATAATGTCGAACGGATTTTTGAGTCAATAAACGTTATCAACTACAGCGAGTGCTTCATAGGGGTTCCACGAAATACAGTTTGAATTGTCTTACTTCAGAACTGCTGTTAACGGTTTACAGTTGGAATTGCCAGCATTGACTTTATTTTACTTATAAGTGATTTTTGATGAAAAGCCAGATTACAGTTGTTGACCTGGGTGCTAGATATTCTCCCCATTCGATTTTCTTTAAAAAAAAAAAATAATAAATGATGAAATGTGAAATCTCTGGTGTAATTGACCTTCCGCTGGAACGCGAATGTCGATGAAAGTATATAAACAAAAATAAATGTCCTTGCCCCGAGGCCTTCGAGTCCAACTTGACCTCGAGCATCAATCAGAATGGTCGAGATAATGGCGTTGAACGTGTTCCATGTCGAACGCCCTGATCCATTTGTATAGTGTTTACGGAGGGCATTACGTATCGAGTGACCGAACTAATTCCTTGTCAGTCGTTGAAAATGTTTATGCTAGTTGTAATCCTAAGTAATTCTTAGATCGCTATTAATTGGATTAATGATAATGGAAGTAATCCATGGGCTATTTTTGCAGTTGTTGCCAATTCGCTCAAACATATTTTGCTCAAAAATGGAAATCTTTTACGTGAGAAAGCATCGCGGAAATTAAAATTTATGCAGATGGTTACTAAAGCTGCGCCTATTTTTAAAATAATCTATAGATTTTGTTTCGCATACAGAATTTGAGTAAAAAAAGACGAATTAATTTTTATTCATTTATATATTTATTACAAATAGACGCTTGCGCGGCCACACTTCCATAGAGTTATCATTGGAAGAAAAAAAAAAAAAAAAAAAAAGGTTTTTATACAGTAAGCTTTTCTTTAAAATGGATAGGATAATTAATGCACTGAAAGGAAAATAATTTGTCATATAGTTTAATACGAATAACAGATTACCGTATTTGATTGCATATAAGACACACCCTTATTTAGAAGGCCACACACATGTAGATGTAGAAAAAGTTATGTGTGTCTAGACCTTTATCCGGGCTAAAAATAGCATTCAGTATTGAAAGTTAACCTGTGTTCTTCACGTATAAGACGCAGGTAACTTTTTTGAGACCAAATTTAGGAAAAAAAAAGTGCGTCTTATATGTCGTCAAATACGGTAAATAGTTCATCTACAATTTTATATCGTCAATAATAAAAGCGTGGAGAGCGTAAATAACGAAATCTATTAATTTCATTGCATAATCAAATGTATAAGCCACTATCTTTTTTATTTTCTGTTAATTGAATTGCATTGTCAGATGCCGTATAACGTTTATTTCTCTTTGGAAACATACAACGTACGAAACTATTTCCACCCACTTAGAAATGACCTCCAATAAAGCGTAAATATCTATTTTGCTTCCTAAAGACTGATCGTATCCATTGCTCGCTGGAAAATGACGGGTGCTCTACATAAGCCACACGGCATTCTCAAAATGGCGTCGGATTCTTAATGAATGCGGTCTTCAGGCTTCGCGCTGATCCGTAAATATCCAGTGCCAGATATAACGTTGTCATTAATCGAGTTCATTTAATTTTACGAATAATCCCTTCAGTTTGTCAGGACTTGTGTTTCTCTTGATTTGCTTTGGAAATATGATGTGTCCTGAATAGGAACAGGGAGCTTACTCAAGCTATGTTCAACAATGTGTGGAGTAGACAACACAAGCAGGAAGGGTATACGAAACCCTTTATTTTCAATACTTTACAGGTACTCCCGAACTTCGGGATACAGAGACCAACCACTTGTTGTCTGAACGTTAAGAATATAAAACTACTAACTAAAACTCTAACTAAAAGCTAACTTTGAATTAGTATACAAATGCCTAGCACTAAGACTGGTCTTTATTTAAAAGGGTACGTATGTAGTACGCCGTTTTGCTGAAACTACAATGTTTTCAAATATCAAGAGGGCTAAACCTCTGGCCTTAAAGGCAACCAGCAACCGAGTCAAACTCGTAAAACTGCAGTGGCAAGCGGCTTGCTTCCTAAATATCCTCCTCTCTCTAACTCTTGGCAAAAAGCCACAACTTAAGTACTTGGGCGTTAGCAAGACAATTTGCACAAACAAATTAAAGCATTTAATTCTGGCCGGAAGTAGAAAATAAGAAGTGATAGTACAGTTTTAAAATAAAATAAACGTTAGTAAAACTTAGGATCCTTACAAGTTATGGGAAGGACTGAGTTATACTACTACGTTTTCTGTAGCCAACCGCGAAACGCAGATAATTTTTCTTTACAGACAGCATCTCTGGGTTAGCATAAGGATTGCTAATTGGTATTATAATTTTACGTTTTTTTTTTTTTTTTTTTTTTTTTTTTTTTTTTGTTGCAATAATGTCTAAAACATCCATATTGATTAACATAAGATGTGAAAATAACAGCCAATATTGTAGCAGAATTACAAGTAGAATGAAGCTAAAGATTTCGAGAGGAGCCTCAACTAAAACACATCTTCAATCTAACGAAGACTAACTTATTCACAAAGAAACTGCCCGGCTCTTCTTAATGACTCGTCGGGACATCTCCCGATGAGCTGTGGGAGGGGGACTGTACTCTCCGATTTCGCGGGAACAGGAAGAATTTTGAAAAACGCAGAAAGAGGAATCACGGAAACAGAACTAATTCGACCCCAATTAGGCTAAGTCGGGCCCTGGTAAGATCGATGATAAATAAAAGGTAGTAGCTTCAACTCTAATAATGAAAATCAATCTGTACAATACATGCACTTTAAAAGCAGTTTTAATTCCAGTTATAACCTTGGAATTCCAAAATGACTCGCATTTAGTCGCTTTACTTGGTGGAAATGTGATACTTCTTTATTTAATAGAGATGGTTGCAATTTATCCATTTTCTGTATCCTTCATTTTTCTCTTTGCAGATTCCTATCGACACATGGGAATGATGTCAGATTTGGTTAAGTAAGGACTCCCGACATGCCTGGTACGACTCGGTACTCCGCGACTTTCGACCGCCCCTATGAGGAGGAGGAGCCGCCCCTCATGCCCACTGCCGCGAGCAGTCGGAGGTCACGCTCGCAAAGCTGGCAGGCCAATTCGGGTCTCGATCGAGCCTACACTCCGCTGGGAGGCACGAGGCCCGTGCAGCACAGATCTTCCTCCACCGACAGCGGGTCCACGCAGGGGGTCGAGCACATTCCCACGCGGACAGTCGTCAAAACTCCGCTCAAAGCTCACAACAACCCCTTCCAGTTTGTGAAAGTAGGAACGTGCCCCTTGTATAAGAAGGTAAGCTCCATTCCTCCCTTCCTCTAATGTGGCCGTTTGGTCAAACCCCGTTGTAACGAGTGAGTGAGAGTTTATTGGCGCAAACCAGTGAGTGAGAGTTTATTGGCATGATTAAAACGCGCCAAACACAGGATGAGATGATTACAAATGATGAAATTAAACTACAATAAATAAAAATAAGTGGACAAATGTACCAAATCCAGAGGATGAAGTCATATAAAAACAAGGTAAAAGCACACATTTAAATCAACACAATCTTCAAAACAAATTACATTAGGTAATAAAAGCCAGTCCCTTTTAAATAATAAAATAAATTACAATTAGCCTCTCTTCTTATTAAACGGTCGAGAGGTAAGTTACAGCTATTAAAATGTTTCTGACAAGACTATTAAAATATGGACATTAAATTAAAATATGACGGACAGATAAACAAACATTACAATTTGAACAAACAGGCTCATTCTCAGCTTTCAAAATGTAGTTATGTGTCACCCTAGTGTGACCAACTCTGAGGCGAGCAGGGGCGTAGCTAGGGTTTTCAGCGCCCGGGGACAACTGAAGATTTTGCGCCCCTCTCTGTGTGCCACGAATGAAAAACACTTCATTCTATAATTTCGTACCATCAATTTAGCGTCCCCTGGATGTTGCGCCCGGGGACAGATGTCCCCCTTTGCCGCACCCTAGCTACGCCACTGGAGGAGAGTCAAAAGAACTTCCTCCTTACGATTTCCAGCAAAATCCCAATGCTCGATTCTAGACTTTACACTTATCAACTTGTTGTTAAGCTGAGCGTCCCAAATTTGCTGCCATTTTTTTTTTTTTTTTTTCCCGGATCTTCCCCTTGATGACACAACAGATGTCTCTAAAAGGGAGGAGGCGACTGGACACTTCAAAACAGATTTTGCTGTGATATCTGCAAGCTCATTTCCCTTTATTCCTGCATGTCCCGAAACCCAGCAGTACAGGACTTCATATCCTCGAATTGTTAAGTTTATAAGAACCACCACCACAAGATTCTGAGACCTTTTGGTCCCCTCCAATTTGATACACTTGACGTTAATTTAGACATGAGCACTTGGAGGTCCGAATCGGAACACCAAACGTTAAATTTAAAAACTACGCAGAATTTTACTCTGCAGACCAACTTAAAAAAAAAAAAAAAAAAAAAAAAAAAAAAAAAAAAAAAAAAAATTACAATGAAATAAGCAAATAGCCTTTAATACAAATATTAATTAATTATCCTAATAAATAAATTAACTGATTTCCCGTTGCCTTCTCTCGACAAACGTCCAGTATCCAAGAGAAACATTAAATTTAAAAACTGCACTAAATTATCGCTTTCATTTTTCCGAGTGGCAACAGTGCTGATATTAACAACAATGGCTGCGTCGGATATAATGAGAGAGAATTACTGCGATTTCATCAAAAAACGTAAAATAAAAAAAATCTGATTCGTATTTCGAAAAAATCGCTTCGAGGTGCACTGGCTCTTGTCTAGATGCACCCTACGTACCAAATTTCGTAGCCCTGGGTCTATTGGCTTACGCGCAGCACGAACGAAAGACACACAGACACTTTCTTTTATTACATATAGAGATTTCAAATTTTATAAAACTTTAATGAATTTTTGATTAACAAACTCAACAATTTCAAAGCGAGCAATGTCAACACTGTACGGAAAAAAACACTTTTATCTCCAGCGCACGAAACTGTGTATTAGTAATTCTAAAGATAACCTGTTTTTAAATATTGATATACATATTAATATTTTAAATACTGTTATATTAATGTTTTAATTGTGTTTATATTAATATTTTAGATATCTTTTTTATATTGCTGTTGAATTGAATTTTATGTGGTTTAAGTGCAAAGAACATGATATTTAATAAATAAAAAGGAAGCACACAAAATGTTAAAAAAACGCCCTTTTGGGCTTAATATAAAATCTGAAAGTCCCCTTTTTTATGAAATAATTTTTTTATGAAGTTGTAAGGTTGATGTTAATTTTTCTAACAGTTTATTTTTAGTTAAAAGTACTTTCCTATCTTCCTGAATTTCAGCTTACAACTTCCGGCCAGAACGTATTTTCAGAATCGCGTTTCAATGCAAATGAGGTGAAGTTGTAACGTCTGAACACCCGTGCTGGGTGAAAGAAAGAGCGGTTGTCTTTTAAAATATTTATTTAAAAAACTTAATAAGAAATTCTTGAATAGTAATTAAAATAATCAAAGCATTTCAGCCATAAATCATACAAAGGACGCAGACGCGGCGACGACGCTGAGATGCGTCTCCTTTCACTCGTTTACAGCATACAAAGCTCTTCACACAAAGCCCTCTCTTCGTTTTATTAAAAACCTGGAATGGGTTTAACTAGTCACTTATGTTCGGAAACCGCACCAGTGGTTTTCCGCTACACCTTTCTTCAAAGTTCTGCTATCCATTTTGTCCCTGAACAAAACAGGAAGTTCTCATTAAGCACCTGGGAGTTTGAGGTGTGCATATGTCTGGCCGGGTTACAAAGTATTTAACTGCGAAGTTCTACTGACTTCGTGAGAGAGCCAGAGATCTCTAACAAAGTCTAGCGCGCGTTCGCCTTTTTAGGCGTAATAATAGCTCACTTTTAAGCTATTATTACGGTCAGCCGTACTTTAAGTCCTTGATGGCTTCGCCGTTAGTGAGCATTAAGGAGCCAACTCTATTAGAATCATGATAGCTTCGGCTATCCCTTTTTAGTTTAGTTCTTAGTTTCCTGCGTTCAAACCGGAGTGGAGGCTTCATTGTAACTCCAAGAAAGGAGTCGTCTGTTAAACTTTATTTGGAATAATAAAGGGTAATTTAACCCTTCTCACGTTTTGTTTCTGTCTCACGAACTCAGGCTATTATTCGCTTATCAGTTCTTAAGGTTCGTCAACTTTAACTGTAACTTAAAGGTACCCAGGTTGGAATTCTGCAAAGTGTAATTTAGATTCCTATGCACTTGATGTTAATTTAGACGGCCCTTCCAGAGGCCTTCTTCCTTAAGATTCGTCAACTTTAACTTAAAGGTACCCAGGTTGGAATCATACGAAGTGTAATTTAGATTCCTATGCACTTGATGTTAATTTAGATGCCCCTTCCAGAGGCCTTCTTCCTTAAGGTTCGTCAACTTTAAAGTACCCAGGTTGGAATCGTACAAAGTGTAATTTTGATTCCTATGCACTTGATGTTAATTTAGATGGTCCTTCCAGAGACCTTCTTCCTTAAGATTCGTCAACTTTAACTTAAAGGTACCCAGGTTGGAATCGTACAAAGTGTAATTTTGATTCCTATGCGTTTGATGTTAATTTAGACGGCCCTTCCAGAGACCTTCTTCCTTAAGGTTCGTCAACTTTAACTTAAAGGTACCCAGGTTGGAATCCTATGAAGTGAATTTAGATTCCTATGCACTTGATGTTAATTTAGATGGCCCTTCCAGAAGTACGGAAATCCGATATAACGAATTATATGAATATCTTCGATGGAAACCTTCTCGTATTTTCCGCAGAATTTCTGAATTCCCAGAAGTTTCTAAGGTTTGTATTATTCTGGATATTGAATTTTAAGACCCTGCTAGACGAATTAACGAGTCGTCGCTCCATCTGAAAGAGTACGAGAAAGACTTTTCATTTAGTCTGAACTTGTAACATAAAAGGCACGATTCGTGCTACATTGGCTACCACTACTTGTGGCGATGTGAATTAAGAAATGACAGTCAGTTCAATTCAACTTTGATTAGTAGTCTAAGACTATACACACAGTTTAAACTGAACTGTAGACTGGCTCGACTAATTTCTCCGACGCGTAAGTTTAAAGCAGTCGGCTGCGAGAGAATGTAAAAGACGGAATAATATCTTTTAGATAGAGCTGCCAAAATTCTAACAGCGCTAAGCTCTCTCTGTGTGTGTGTTATTATGGCAAAGCCTCGAGGACTATTTGCCTAAGAGGAGGGATGCCTTCGTGGAGGACTTTCTAAGGGAAACTGGTTCGTATACACGTTACACATGGGGAAAACCACAAAAACGCCCATGCTGCCAGCCCGTTCGCGGGATTCGAACCTCAGACCACTACCAGTGTTCAGCGATTTTACCGCTCGGCCGCTTGTGGGCGCTAAGCTCTTTCTCTGTAAGATTCAAAACTCTCGGTGTAGATATAATCAAAGCTAATTTGCATCCCGGTGAATAATACGGAAGAAGAAATTACAGTAAGGTTCAAAATCACCGTAACTGGTTAATTAACATAAAGTACGTTACAAGTTTTAACGAAAATAATCGATAAACCTTAAAATCATCCACGTTTAGTATGATAGAATCCATTTGTATAGGAAAACGCCTTTACAAATTTTTTGTTGTACGTTGAGGCCCACATTTATCTGTTTTAAATAAAGACTGTGCAACCCTAGTGGTTTGCAGAAGTCATCGCAAGAGTGTTTAAGCATTCATAATCAGAACCAGGAACAAAATATTTTAATATATGCAGATGTGTCATGCAAATTAAAAAAATTATGCTTTACACCTTGTAAGATTCTTTACTGTGTACTTTTAAACTGTGCAAATTAAAAAATATACAGTTGAATGTGAAGAATCTTAAGAACTGATGAGCGAATAATCGCTTGAGTTCGTGAGACAGTAACCAACACTTGATAAGGTTTAAAGACTCTTTATTATTCAAATAAAGTTTAACAGAACTCCGTCTTGGAGTTGTACAATAAAGCCAACACTCGGACTTGAACTTAAGAGACTAAGAACTAAACTAATCTTAACTAAAAACATATAGCCGAAGCTATCAAAAGTTTAATAGAGTTGTCCCCGTAACGCTGAACTGCGAAGCTATCAAGGGCCAAACGTAATAATAGACGCGTGGTAGCAGGAAACTCTGATTCTCTCTGACTGAGACAGTAGAACTTCGCGGTTAAATACCGCTCTTCCTCAATTCGCATTCAAACGTGATTCTAAAACTACGTTCTGGCCGGAAGTGGTAAGTTG